GAAAGGTTGAAAATTTCATATGTTTTGAAATTAATGTCCTTAAGATGGTRTCCAATTTTACAAATACATTATTCCAGAAATCAAACGTTTAAATTATGCATGGCGCTTTCCATCATCTCACCTGGAATTTCAGTAACTTCTCCTTAAATATTAATTTTCAACTCGTCAGCTATGTTGTAAGACAAGCCGTGTACCGTTTACACGCTATTTTTTAGCTAGTACCATAAGACAAAATTCACATACATCTGAATCTGGTTATCTTGAGGCCAACGAATGGGAACAAGCAACGAAATTACACGATATGTACAAATGAAAATCATCTTACGGACATAAATTTTAAGACTTAAGCTTTGGACTCTTAGTGTTATGTAAATTATAATATAGTTTTTGTTTTCTATATAAAAATTAGTTTAATCAGGTTTTTATTTATTTGAGAGTTATTTAATATTTTATCGTTTTTCTGGAACACGGCGACTATATATAAGCACCAGTAGAGAGTAGACTGTAATCTAAGTATAAAGTATTTAATATATATACCATAGTAATGTACTCGTTGACCATTGCGAACTAATGTAAAGACTTAAGCTTCGATATGTCCAAGGAGATGATCATGAAATACACTACATATCAATATATAATAATGTATATGAATTATGAATCGCATAAAACGAATTTTTAATTTTTAATAATTATTATATTAACACATAAATACCCATACATTATAATAATTTACGATATTCTGTATGCCTATATATAATATAAGACTTAAACATAACTATTGGTAACCTATACGAGTATTCAGCTATACCTGCCTAGTATTATAATATCTATWACATAATACCTACATAATAAATACCTATGTTATAATATTATTTATGCCATATATTATCGTCTTARCTTTTCTACAGGTATTAATTAATGCCTGTGTATATGTGGTATTTTGCTAGATTTAAATGTACTCGTTATGAACTTTTTATTCATTTGATGACTATGTATATTTTTAATTCATTAAAAATAATGCATAAAAAGAATTAGAAACCTAATGGAAAAACAATTACACTTATGATCAAGGCTACCTATATATTATTTAGGTACCTATTCGTTAAAAACACAATCATTTTAAAATTTAAAAATGTAATGTGTTGATATATAGTATTATGGCGGATAACGGTATAAGTTATGTTCATACTTATGTGTAGAGGGTTTTTTAAAATACATAAAATAATGTGGGTWCTTGTGTATTATTATTATATATTTATATTTTTAATCAAATTAAACATTTTGGGATGTATGTAGTATGTACATATATCTATTTAGTATTTATGTTATATTTCGACTTTTCTAAAAACAATAGTATATTTATTCATAGTTGTTATAGCCATAAAATAAAAATGGTGTTAAGTCTCAAACGTAACATTCATACACCGAAAAATATCTACTATAGGTATATTATTCAATTTAATAACCGTGAGAAACGATTCAATCACTTAATGCTATTTATGGATTCTTGTCAGCTATTGAGCTATATGTGGTATTYGAATTCGTTAAATAATACATTTTATCAATATATATATGATATAAAACTCTGTTCCAGTGGACTCAATTACAATGCGTCCTATATGAAGTCAAACGAGGTACCTATACATGTTTATATCCATTTTTTCACAGAATCTTTTCTTTTTTTACATTATTTTTCTTTTATAAATATATTTAATCCATTAATCTCTATAGACATCCTTTCCTTTCTAAAAACTCGATGATATCCWTCTATATATGTATACTTAATATATAATATATTATGAAACATTTAAATCAACGTATTAATGTATAAAATAATATTATAATATAATTTCATTTTTACTGTCACTACTGCATTAGTCATTAAACTATTAAAGTCATTATTGTGATTAGTAATAAACTACAGTCATCTATGACTATATACATACATATGAACTACATAGTAACGATTAAAATATATAATTTAATATTTATTTAAAAACATATAGTTTACATCGGCTTCTCTTTAAGCTTTAATAGTATTCGATATCTTAGCTATACATACGCGTATATAAATATGTATAAGGCAGTAGATACCAATGGAAATATGTAACTAGGAATTCAGTATGTGAATGGTTTGCCGTTATTTCATACTAAATTTATATATATTATAGTGTTTATTAAGTAGAGATAATAAAAAAATAATAATGAAACATTTTTTCTCAATGAAACTCGACACCACGCTATTTGGTCTTATTATGATTACCTAGAGTTTAAATTTCRTTTCACGTCTACGCAGCAGCTACACATACGGATARTATAGTAGGTATGTTATGTACTTGGYGAATATAAACATATAAAATATTTAAATATGTCAYACAGAYATACTGCAAAAGTCACATGAATCGTGAAACATTTTAACGCCAAACGACTGGAACGGTGGTAAATTGTAAACACGACGAGTGGCTTATTTTTTGTAGCAATGTGCCGGCGTACATGTTATTATTATTGATTATCGGGTGGAAAAAAAAAACCAAACACTGTAGCACGCACGAAGCGAGATAGATATTATGTTATGTATTATATACACGTGATGCGGACGCGATTATATTATATTATATTGCCGAGAGATCCGTATCTGCTGCGTGCAGCATCGCGGCCGTTGCAGCACCATGCAACCCCGTGTGCACTTGTGCATGCGTAACGTGTGTGGGTATTATACGCGTGTGTGTTACATGCATACACGCACACGGACCGGACAGAAGAGATGACACGCGGAGCCCCGCGTGTCTAGACCGCGTCCCCTGCTGCTGCGCTAGCCGGCACAGGTGCGCGGCGCGTTGGTGACGCATAAACGCCAAATACGCGATAGCGAAATAACGAGACCGGACAGCCGTGAACGCTGGCGGCCGCGCGACGAACGAAAATATCATATTATTATTACTATTATGTGTAGGTACGCGTCGTATGCCCATATACTAATAATATTATATTTTAAACATACCCACACCGGCGGTAAGGTATAATATATTATTATAATGCGATGCGATGCCGATGTTCAGCGTGCGGCGGACAGAGACGGAACGAGGAACGTGTACGCAGGCACAGACAAATGAACAAACAACGCGTAATAACAATGTTATCGGCTTGTCGGTTCGCATTGTTGACTAGACACAAACATGGGCACGAGCCCGAATATTAATTTATTATGATAATATATAAATATATCGTATAATACACATACGTATAATAATGTATACATTTATTATTATGAGCGCTGTGCACGACGAAAAAAAAATATCCAATTAAATCCGAATGGGGGGTGGAGGAGAAACGCTTTTTCTGCTGTCCTTTGCGAATTATGATATTTTTTCACCTAATTTAAATGAACAATAGCGCGCTTATCTTTCGTTTTGATAAATCGTCACGCGTTTGATAAGCAAACGCGCTTATAATAAAATATTATTTTAATATAAAATGTACGGGAATGTTTTTATTCGTCCACATTCGTGCTTCTGCTAAATCGTTTCGAAAACAATGCGGCGTGCCCCCTATGACCTCCTCAGTGACTTCCAAAGATCGAATTACACGCATATTATAATTATATCTATATAATATGAACCAAATTTATTGTTGTAATACCTTTCTCCTCGTCGACCACGTCGAACGAGTTGCCGAAAACCGTGTGTCGTTGTAAAATAATAATATACAACGTAACGTAGGTACACTTCTTGTAGTTAGTGTATAAAGTCCGAAATGATATAAAATCATAATATGTAATACGCTGCAGACGACCCGCGACGGCTAGACGTCCGGGCGTCGCGAGCCGACGACGATGACGACGAGAAAAAAACAACTCGCAYTCGGTGCATACTGCATAGAAGTCGACGATCTGTGCGACTGTGCATACAAATAACATAACTGCACGTGAGTAATAATGTGCAGTTTTCAAAGCGCAATACTGCGATATTTATTTTACGTTACACTGAAGTCGTTTTAGTGAAAATTAATATCAAACTATTATAGGCAATATTATTATGCATTTAATTTTACGTAAAAAGATTAATTCTCRTTATACTCGGCCGATAGTAACGAATAACGATATACATTCGTAACACTACACGTATTAAAATATACGAGAATATTATCATTATATTATACGGATGTACGATAGCACCTATCTATGTACATTGTATTGTTCAATATCTTGGTATGTAAAATTTCTCTAAGTCAATCGTAAACTTTTTACGTGTATATAAATAAACGAAGAATTTCGTTGCTTGTGTTATTTCTTTATGGTCGTGCACTCGACGTTATCGTTCGGGGCCGATAATGTGTCATTCCATCATTATTATAGCGCGTTATATACATATTATATAATGTATATGTATATATTTTAATACTGTGAACAGCGAGAAGTGCGTAGCAGTTTGCAGAGGTGCTCAAAGAACCCAAATGTCTGATATTATAACGCGAAGAACCCCCGACGAGGCGTTGAGTTGTCACCAGGAACACGGGGGTGCGAACCCAGCTGACAAATTTGGGTCAAGGTAAGTAACACTCGGCGCAGACTCGCGCAGGCGGGTGGCTTGTACCTATCTAAATAAGAATAATTTATAGAAGGTCGTGGCACGCATACTATAGAATTGTCGTGGAAAATAAAGAAAACAATTGTTGAATTATATCGACAAAAACGAATTTTATCGATTAACGAATGAAAGAAAAGAAAACGATATTAAGAACATCTATTATACCTACCTTATTTACAATACTTATCCAATCATACAGCGACCGGAAGTTTGTGTATGCTCAAAACACAAACAGCGTATTACAACGAATATATACGAGGAGTTTATAAGTATAATATAATTTTATAACTTTGAACGATATAAATGATAAAAATGCATAAATAACTGCGTGGCACGTGCATAATGAGTAGATATATCGTAATGACCTAAAATTTAGTGTAATATTACATGGTAAATATAAAGTGTAAACCTTACCTGGGTCATCAGTCGATCGGCACCGGTGCCCTCGTCGTCTTTGAACTCGATATCCGCATTGTAGTTGGGTACCAGCTCCATGAATCTGGAGTCGTTCCGCTGGACCCGACCCTCTGGTGGCCCGCTGGCGGTGATGGAGTACTCGCTGACGTTGGGCTCGTGTTGCTGAAACACCAGTGGTTTCATCTTCCGAGGGTTCCTGAACTTGGACGGGCCACGCAACGGGCCRCAGCCCTCTACCCCGACTGCCGCCATCACACACACAATCAGCGTCAACGTGTACCTCCACCGGTATCTGGACGCCACCGCAACAACGCCACCGCCGTCGCCGCCGTTCCTCATATCCGGCTGCCAGACACCGCATTACCGCGGCCTTTACTCATACAGCAATCGGTTGCTATACGTCATTTAAAAATTCGTGGAAAAAAAACAAAAACAGATAGTTTTTATATGAGTACACTGAACATAATTAATGAGCTTATACTTAAAAGAAAGAAACTAGACAGCGTTCAAAAACATAGGCGCAACTAGACCTCTAAAACGTGGGGTGCTATACTATTAAAAACATAAAATTGATGTTATTTCATTATAATTATAATAGTTAGATCTAAAATATCAAGGGGTGCTAAATTAGAACTTGGGGGTGCTAAACACCCTTTTGCACCCCCCTAGTTGCACCAATGTTCAAAAACCTGCACGGGGGTTAAAAAGTTTATGATAAACAATAGTAAATCATCAAATTAAAAAAAGAATAATTTTAAACGAATTTTATAATCCACGTACTTTCGAATATTTTTAAAAATTATTCATCTAAAATCGGAATTTTTTTCTTTGAATATAATATAAACTATCAAAAGAATTGCAACATTGCAACATAATATTTCCCAAGATAAAAATACTAAAATCGATAGGTAAGAGTATAAGAACAGTTAAGACTTTTTACACCATATGTCTCGGACTGTTAAAATGGTGATCATATACGAAAAAAGAATAGTTTCAACTGTTTCAAGTTATATGAAATAAAATTTAAACTAAAATTGGTATATTATCCTGTGTTAAGGTGAATGAAACTAGACGAATGATCGATATAGAAATAAATGAATGTATTATGTATTGATTTTTATWTCTTAATGATATCATATTTTGAATTTGAAATTATCAAATAATTTTCTTGCATCATATAATTAAACGAAGTATAATCTTGCGGTGTATAAAAATAATCGTTTATAATTATATAATAGTACAAAATATCTAATGATCTGTTCTMCTGCAATTTAATATATTTTTACTTACCTACCATTGCATAGTGGCGGCCTGGAAACAGATTACTTKGTGGGCTAAATAAAAAATAAATATTTACTACTATTTATTATTGTACCTAAATATTTAGGTACAATTATGAAGACGTGKGGTCTTGAACATATTTTTTAAATAAATTTAAAGGGCCAGTCTGCAACCGCCGTCTCTCCGACCTGTTTAGGCCGCCACTGCCATAGAAATATAATACTTAACACATGCAATACAATTTTTTTTTAAAGTATAGGTTTTTGATATTATAAATATTATACAAATAAATATACATTATATTATATCTAAACATGCAATTTTGTTTGCATATCCCGCATATCTCATCAGACATTTCTCTATTTTTTTTTTAATTTAAAAAAATTACAAAAATTTAAAACTTAAACAAATTTAAATATTTACATTTAACAAATACGTTAATTTTTACTAATTTTTTTTAAATGAGGTAAAAGGTAACTCTCTGTATACAGTATACGAATGGCTAAAACTGTCATCAATATTATTGATGCACTATTAATATATTATAAAAAAGATGATTTTAATATTTTAATTTACCAAAATACCACTTTTGTATTTAAAAAGTTAAAGTATTTAAAAATGTAGGAATTTATGAATTGAACATATCGCATATAATCAGATCAAAATTACCAATTTTTTTACATATGACGTCACTTATTACCTACCTATATATTATTTATATTTAAATTTGTTTTATTAATTATTATAATTATAATATGAATAGTACCTATAATTAACATTGAATATTTTTATTTTTTATTTTTAAAATTATGTCTAATCTTTGAATTATGTCTATACATTTATTAATGTTTTACGTGTATACTGTATAGGTTGGTACTATAAACGATAATATAATATTATATATTATAGTATATAAAGGTTATTTGATCCTTAACATATGTATGCAATAATATTAATAAACCTATAAATAATATTAAGTATATATCATGTTTTTTAATATAAAATATTCGAACTATAAGATAAGATAAATACTAACATTTAGAACCTGAGACCCTGACTATACCTATACATTAAACTACGAATACCTACCAACATTTTAGGCTAAATCGTAATACAATATCTAAAAGATTAAATAAAGAAAACTGTAACGGGATTTTACTAAGAATTGTATCCACAATAAAAATTCTGTTCCCGCTGAGAACCGTTTTTTATATCACCTCTCGTATGCGTCTRCAGTCTGCAGACATGCAAGTAGGTAATACCTAATAGAACCGCAGGCAGCTAGTAGGCATCTGTTATATATTTATTTGATTTTGTGATCTATAATTTGTGATTAATACGAATKTTTCTATATCAGAAATAAAATTGAATATATTACATTATTAAGAAATCATAAGTTAATTATTTTATCATAATTACTCCGTGACCCGTCATAAAAATTAATGAATGTATAATATTATTATTAATCACAATTATACGAAAAATAATTAATATTGTTTAAAGGAAATTAATGATAAAAATGATAATATAGTATATTAAAACTACTGTTGAGTTAATCAATTTAACAACGAAAGTGATAATATACATATTTTATGAATCATAATATATCTATTAATTTGAACTAATTTCATACATGACTAATTTAATAAATGATATTTTTTCAATATTAAAAACTCGTTATACTTTATTTAATGAACTTCTATATTATTAATTATTAATTAAAATTATAAATTATTATTTCTCCTATAACTATAAAATATAATATAGAAGTTAAATATATTTATATAGGAGAAATAATAATTTACAATTGTAACGATTTTTAAATAATTGCATGTACTCTATATGGTTTCTTTATAAATTATATAGAATATTTAATTTGATCTATAATTTGAATATATTATAMTCATATTTAAAAAAATCYTCTTACCTTGTGAATGCTGATTATTGGTATTTTGTTAATATCAAGTTGGAAAAAATAAAATTAGTCCGGGTTGTGAGTCGCACTACAAATGCGCGTTCGGCGACTAGCCGTTACCGCACGTTACACAATTCGAAATAACGAGAAAAATACGATAAACKAATTAAAACTATTCACAAAAATTAATCACGATATCAAACTGAAAATAAGTAAACATTTTTTTCAAAATGATACTTTTCAAAACCGATCTCGGAATAAAAATGAAGGAAAACTTCGAATTCGGTACACCGAAGTCGCGCCGAACYGATTCTGGTAACAAGGTCAACGAATTTGAACCAGACTCAGTGATGTTGTGGGTGTGAGCCTCAATCGTTCTCCCACCCCAGTGTATGGAGCTCCGCCCATATCGTGGCCGCCTCCATGTACACGAGGACTGCGTCGCGTGTGCAGCAGGTACCTGATCACCGACGTACGCCGAATAGTTCGACAAACCCGACTGGCGCTCTTGCGGTCTTGTGGAGCCTTTTGTGCGCTTCAATAGACAAAGGTGCAACGTTCGTTGATCGCCTTGCATGGTGATCCCGTGAATTGTTCTCGAGAAACCGATCGCTTCCGGATCAAGTCACCGATATCGTTGTGTCAAAATCCTTTTTGGTCATCTTAATATAAAGGTAAAGGTGTGGYAAACTACATGATATTGAGGTACACATACACGGCCTTATTCTTTCGTATACCTAAATGAAAATAACAATACCTCAATAGCTATTATAAGCAAATATTTCGTGAAAATAAAATCGGTAGACTAAGAACATTTTTACAATAACTTTTCGATATATTTTATTGTATATAAAATCGTATAGTAAAAAAAAAAACATTGCTTTTCTGGTGGCATTATTCTAGAAAATACACCTATGTATGTACATCATGTAGAAAACTGTGTTTGTTCCTTTTTTTCTTCTTGTCATGTGAAATTGATTTCTGACGTTTCTTGTTTTTATGGCGTCTTGCAAAACTATTATACTTGTTAGTATTCACTACTCGGTATACATAAAATCCTTAACTACAATACGAACAATACGAACAGATATGGATTACCAAACACCAACAGAACCCAATACAAGTATATTTACAGGTACCTACTTATTACCTGCTCAAATATGTTTTTAGGATTAATGGAGTAAATTTAAGCATATCACACACTATGCACAGGTAGATGTAGTAAAAAATTGAAATTATATGTGAAAAATAAAAAATAAAAATAAGTATAAATAGATAGGCACTACTATTCAGGACATTCAGATAAAATGTAATAATGATTCTTCACAAATATTATTGTTATTTTTAATATTAATTAGATTATTGTGTGTACCTATTTTATAGTCCAGAGTGCGAAATATATTTATAAAATTATTAATTTGTGTTGCAGAAGTATATCTACTTAACATTAAATTATTATTTTTAAAAAGGCATAAGTAATAATTTATTACTTATGTGTTATGCTAATAACTTATTAGCTTAAAGTTCGTCTTCTTTACACTTATCAATAGATTATTTTAAGCAAATTAATTTTAGATAAATTCAATTTGAAAATGCACATTTATATTAATTTAGTATACAAATATTATGGTATATAATTATAACCTGTATAATACGTCATACATTTTTTTTTTTATTAGAAAAATAATATTTACAATGTATAATGTATATGATTGTTGTTATTTGTTAACTAACAAGTTAACACAGTAATTTATATAGAAATATTTAAAAAACGTTTTCGGAAGGATCCCGCAGAAAATGCTAAAAAACACATTTTTTGACAATTTTTAAATTTCTAGTCTTAATCTTTTCATTTTACGCGTGAGCGTATAACATTAAATATAACGTTTGTTTTTAAATAGCAATTCGTTTTCTCAATAAAAGTTTTAGAAATATATAATTTCTGAAATAATTTTCATTTTTAACCATAATACTGGCTTTTTTTTATAAAATTAAAATTTACTAAAATGCAACGAGTTAAAATTAGGCTAAAGATACGTAAAATAACATATTAATTATATAATTGGAAAAATCATAGGTATTATGTTCTACTTCATATTAGATATTAATTCAGTCATAAATATTAAACTATAGTATATTAAGTACTCTTAATAATAATGTACACAGAGTCAACAGAGATTCAATTTGTCTTATTATCAGTTCATTTGAAATTGAAATCAATTAAAAAATAAAACCCAGAGAACATACTTTTGAGTGTACCTGCTTGTTATTCAGTTAGTCCCTGTTAGTCCTTGTTAGTTAACTGTTATAAAAAATGTTATTCAATGATACTTCATTGTAATGTTAAGCAAAAAAAAAATGTTGAGCGAAAGAGATCCGTCCGATCACCTTTCATTATATCTAGGTAATGAAGGCGTATGTTCACTTAATATTTTTAATGATTATTAAGTAGTATATATTTATTTTTCTTAAATCATTAAGTTTATTTAATTTTTGACAAAAATATATTATCTGACGGGATGAGCTATARCCATGGTCTGTTTGTCTGAAGTAGAAGAATAGCTATTATTGATCAAAAGTCAATATTACTATACTTCAGAATGGTGCGAATAGGTTTGTTTTGTGTGTAATAATAAAAAAAAATTAGTATGTTATATTTTCTCTTATATTGTTAATAAGTTTGATGACCTTGTATGTCAGATACACTTTATAATAATAAAAAAAGAAAAGTTAGTCTAAATATTTTGAAAATTTCATTTGGTACGTAAAAATAATTTTATRTGTAAGTAACAGTTCAATGTTTCAAGTATCTATGATTAACATTTTATGGATTATGACAAAATAACTAATACATAAGACCTAACTGATTAAAAATCTTATTATCCAGTTTTATCGAAATTCGAACGTAAAACATATTTTATAATAAAATTGTGACTGTTTTTATTATACTGGCATTTTTAAAATACTTATCATATAATCTTGTATGTCAAGCTTTTTGATCAACAATTTAAATTGTTATACAAGAAAGTAGATACCATCCATGATTGAAAATGCAGAAGCAAATTGTGTACTCTTAAATGTGACGGTACAGAAATAAAAAAATATTAATAATTAACACACCACATTAAAGCCAATAAATATCTAAAACAATGGGWTATATAGTATATCGATAATCTATATTATATTTTATTAATTTTTTTATACCTAATATAAAATGTAAGGCATAATTTAAATTTGTTTTAGTATTTCAGACAAATATAATGACCGATGTCGCGAATGTATGTATAAAAGGCAAAATTAATGGAAACAAATAAGAAGGCGTATATAATATATTGGAAGCCATAATGGATTTTTACTTCAAGACATATGTGCATACAAAGGGTGTATTTTTTATATACGAAAATAAAAAATGGCAATATTTCGATCTTATACTGTGTCCCATTCAAAACAAGTTGTATGTTATTTATGATGACAGGTAACTTCCGGAATATTCAATTTATTGCTGTTTCAAGATTTGTCCAGTTAAACAATATTATTTATATTATTTTCTCATCATCCTGTGTGTTGAGTAATATAAAAACAGAACAGTAATGTTGTTTAAAATGTAGGTAGGTACTATATTACTCGTAAAATTCCTAATAAGTCATATTTACACCATATTACGATCCTTATATACATTGCAAGGTTTTGAAATAGGCAACAAGATCCTATATYATTGATACATTTTGTTATAATAATACCTACCTTTAAAATATTATTATATAAGGTTCTTTCAATTAAATTTTAAAAAGATCTAATATTAGGCCCCTACACGACTATACGTATCATCAATTAATTTATATCATTAATCACTCGTATTGCATTTTTGCATGTTCGATTATGGAYATTTTTCAAAACCAGTAAATGAATCACAACCCATATCCCATTGGTAAAATAATTATATAATATTTATAAATTATTAATGCTCAAATTATAAGAATATACTTACATATTTTTATAAAGTTAAAACATTAAACGCCATAGATTTATTTTATTCACTTGTCATATACAATTATACGAATATTCGATCAAAAGTTGTATATACTATTATACATGTATAAGTAACTTGTATTATTTCCACTTTCCGTAGCTTGCATGCGTGTAATAAGTACAAGTGTACAAGTTAAAGGACTAATACCGATAATTCTCAACGATAAAAACATGTCCGCGTAAAATAAACAAAATACTAAGCAGCATTAAATAGTGGTTTTAGTGTAAACATTATTCTTATGAAATGTGTGACTAAAAATATTTTGGATCCAAGCTCGTCAGCTTTTTTTGAAATATTAACTATAAACAAAATTACAGTTATTTAAAAATGTTCAACGAGCTGTATAACGAAACCCCGATGAGGTTGTCTCCAAAATATTGTAATTATAATGATATAGGTACTCTTAAGCTGATGTATAACTATACGTTCTATACGCGTCTACTAGAGCCTAGAACACGCACTTGCACACTGCAATGGTATAGGCGTACTGGTAGGCATACACACACACACACACACACACACTACATACCTATACGAGAAGTAAATACAACACCATGAGTCCGTGAGAACATGCAGAGATCGTACCCATGGGATACCGTGACGGCCGGTGTACACGTACAGGTGGCCGCTATGATGAGTTTCTACCATAGACGATATAGACCTTACTTATTATATATACTACCTTAATATGACTAAGTATGAGGTCTATGGTTTCTACACCCCCTCCACATTTAACATGCACATAATATTAATATGCTTATACATATATATCATGAATATAGTGTATACTGTATAGTGTATATATACGCACGTACAAACAGGAGGTAGGTACCTAAGCAACTGCACAAGAAACGTYGGTTTCTCACTGATGTTATATATTACCTGACGACGGCAACGGGGTATAGTCTTCGTCGTAGTCGTCCTCGTCGTAATCGTAGTCGTATAGCTATATACTGGCTACATAGTCGTCGTCTTTTACAGCGCGCTCTCGCGCTCTCCTTCCTCCTCCGGGCGGTACAGGTGTGCCGCCCGGTATCATACCATTTGCCCATTGGAAGTTGGGCGTGGTCCAAAAGTTGCTCATCATCATAATCACCATCATCATCATAATCATAATCGGCATCATCATCATTATCATATAATCATCATCTTCTTCACCATCATCGTCAACTCTGCCGCCACCGCTGCGTAAACGGCCTGTAGAGGGTCTCTTCTATACTCGTTCAAAAGAAAACTTCACTAATATTATATTATATATATAATATATATATTTTTGTATCGAATGAGCTAGAAAACGTATAACGATTTTATGCTATTTTTTATCTACGCCGATAATTTATGGGATTTAGATCGTGGTTGGTGCATTGTTTTTACTTGACATTCACTGAAAACTTTCGTTTTTAGGTATACGCACTACGTGTCTGTAGTTCTGTACGCACATATTATCATCATGTACGTAATTTACAGGTTAATTCAAAAACTAGTTCTTCTAACATTGTTGGTGACAATAACTGTAAAAAAGTAGGCATTAAGAAATTATATAGGATGATTGTTTTAACGGAATTATTAATTGATATAGTGGTGTATATACATTTTTTAAACAATAAATAATCAAAATCATTGAATACTTAAGATTATTAATTCGTTAAAACATATCAGAACA